GAAATGGCACTGTGGAAGCAGTGATCCACACAGTTGTTTGCATCGATGTTCTTAGCACAGCAGCCCTGTCACAGCTTGGTAGAACACTTTTTTTGTGGCATTGACACTGATGAAGGACAGGATGTTGGTAACTACGGGTGTTCACATAAAGAAAATTGCTGATACATCAGTCTTTATATAAATATATCCCTAAACCCTTGCCTTCATTTCTTGTGCTCCCAGTGATAGAATGAAATGATGTGACTAGAAACGTAAACCGGTGGGATTTTAAGTCTTTATCAGAATACTCTTGTTAATATTTTCTTTTCAACTTATACACTTTGGCTCTTTTCCTTCTGAATTGGGAATTAATTTGACTTTGGTGAGCCGTACTTTGCTAAATTGATTTTTTCCTAATTTTAAGTCAAAAAGATTGGAAGGAGTATCAGAAGTGTAAGGGGTTGGAAAATAGTTGATACAATGGCAAGTGAGGCTCCATGTCAATAAATGTGCATTAATGCATATTAAAGGGAAGCATGGATCTAGACAAATGTTTTACAGGCTTTCAAGTTAAATGCATCTCATCTGGAAAAGGACCTTCACCTCTGGATTGTGGTGTCAGTGAATGCTTTTCTGTGTAGCCAAAAGAACAAACGATGAACAAGGAGCAGCTGAGGAAAATAACATGGATTTTTCTCCCCTTGTAAATCAGTGGTACATGTCATTACCAATCTTTTAGGTTGTAGTTGTATACGATAATTGATCCTGGCCCTGTTTCCAGTGCCCTTCCCCCCCGCCCCCGGGATTCTTCTTTAAGCGCTACTTAAGCCCTACCTTGCAAAAAGTATGTACTGCAAAATTAAGGAGGCTCACAGACTGACTAGAGCCATAGGAGAAGATCCTCTTGTGTGAAGAGAGACTGAAATGACAGATCATTCAGATCAAAAAGGGGATGAAAAGAGAGGCATGATAGCAGTAGTTCAAATATTGTCTGTTCTTGTCTTAGTACAAATGGGTATTCAGTAAAGCTGAAAGGTGTTGAAAACTGAAGTAAGGTAAGTATTTCCTCATTTATTTTAACCTATAGCAAGAGTATGAAACTCTATGCAACAGCAAATGACTTGAACTAAAGAGATTCAGAGAAAAGTTGAATAGTAGTTTAGATAACAAAAATACTGGAGCTTTATATTTTCTAATCATAATAGTTAGGAAGGAAGGACAGGGAAATGCAGAGCGCCTCTTATTTCACCTTGTTTTGGTATCTCATCTAAGTTGAATATGCCTAAGCTTGCTGTAGTCATGCTTCTGATTGCTTTTGAAAATCTTATGGCCTAATATTTATTAGGAACAGATGGATTCTCTCTGTATCCCGGTGTTTTCTCTCTGCCTTCCTCATAGTAGAGAATTTTATTTACTGCTCTGGTGGACTTTTTCTCTCTGTTGTTATGTTCCTGCTTTATTGTGTTACCAGGATAGAATATGTTTATTGAGTGTTTTCAGCCTTTCCCAAGCATGTGGAGGGAGAGTACTTTGTTCCCAACCTGTTTTATCTGTCCTGCCTGCTCTCTACCAGGTGGTGCCAGGATATGTTTGAAGCGCTGTCAAATACTAATTGTTGGAATCGGTCTAACTGTTGGAAGAAAAAGCTGCATCTTTTTCTCTTTCTATTCTCAAAGTGCCAATTGCCAGCTGTTGCAGAACTGGCTGTGATATTTCTGTTGGTTTGCAATTCTCTAAGCGTCTTTTTTAATTTTACTCATTTAAGAGTGCCTGAGGTTTCTTTCTAGAACTTCCCAGCAGAGAGAGTTAAACTGGCCCAGATTTTTCAGTTTCAGTTGTTTGTCACAGTAACAGTATAAAATGAGATATATCTGAGTAGCATCAGAACCGTTGCCGTGCCTGCCTCTGGATTTACAGCGCAGCTTTGGTTTTATGCTTTGTTCACGTATGGCAAGATATAGCTGTCTGAGTTGGAAAGCTGCATGTTTTGTGTTTCAAAACTGTAGGGCCTGCAAAAGACTGATAGCACAGTCTTCAAAATTAGAGATCCTGGAGCAGTAGATATTTCAAGATATGGTGAAAAGTGATGTTCAAGTAAGTGGAAACAGACAAGAATTATATAGAAAATACTGGAGGGCTTTTTTTCTTTTTTACCCTTAATGTAGTGTCCTTTAGAAAGGAAGAATGAAAAATTAATCATTGATTGACAAAGAAATGAAGATGTGCCAAAAATGTAAAGTTTTAGTGACTCTTGTAATCCCCATGATGAGGAAAACCTTTTTGTATTACATCTTTTGTACTAGCATAGAGCAAGACCCAGTGCTGGGGGAATCAGAGCAAAGCTCTTCTTGGCAGCTGGCTGCGGTGGGGCAGCTTGTGCTGCGTTAATGGAGTGGTGTCTGTGCATGCTGAAGTATCATTATTTGAGAGAATAAAGAACGTGCTTTATGGAAAATAGTCATCTCTGACCAAAAATGAGGAAGAGGCTGTTTAAATTAATAGGGCAGATGATTGTATGTCCCAATATTAAAGAAATTTCGTAGTACTTCTTCTGTATATGCTAATAGAAAAAAATATCAGCTACAGTGTGTTGGGTAGGAGACAAAACAAAAATAATAAAATCTATTTTTAGGACAACTTTGTCCTGAGAGAACAGATAAATCTGGTTACAGTGTAGTAAACTTGAAGTCTGATCTCTTGAGTACTTGCTAATGGAATTTTCTCATTCTGGTCTTAAGAGTTTAGACTTTTTGTGGTTGGCAATGTGTTGTTAAAGCTGTGTTCTGAATAGGCCGCGTCGTTTAAGAAATGGAAATTTTCTAATAGTAACAGATCAAATGCGTTCAAGATACTGAAAAACACATTTTCCTCCCTTTAAACTTTTTTTTCCTCTGGTATTTTCAAAAACATCCTTACTTTATCTCATTGATCCCAGTTAAAATTTGTATGCTTAGTCCTCTGTATAAGATTTGTCACCTATTTTTCCTTAGTAGTGTTTTGGGCAATGTTTTTGGTGGTGGAATCTATCTGATTAATTTTTCTCTATTTTATTTTTCTAACTGCAGAATCTCCCTACTGAGATTTTGCTTCTGTCCCCATACTTCTTGTTTGATGTAATTCTGTGTAAATCTGTGGGTTTTTTTTTCCTTCAGTCTGTTGGCTTTTATGGTGGTTTGTCTCTACCCTTTTTTTCTTTTTTTCCCCTCGAACTTGTGTGGTTTTTTTTTTTTTTTGGTCAAAATCTGGTGGTGATTCTTGCTGGTTTCACTGTGGTCCCTCAGCAGTCATAAAAGTGGGAGTGTTTTTATCACTTGTGCTGCCTAATAATTCAGTAGGGCATGTGCGTGAATGTCGGTGCCTGCTGCCAGTAGTATGTACTGGGATGTTGGAGGTGACTTAACTGACAGAGCAGCATGATGTGAAAGCTTGCATTCAGCTTTAATGGCATTTCTCTGAAATATGTTCTTTTTTGAAAATTATGTTGAGTTAACTTCCCAATTTCAGTAAGTGTTCCAGGCAGCAGTGTCTGGGCGCTACTGTATTTGTTAAAATGTGCAAAAATTTGGAAAGCACCAGCCAGAATCTTAATCCATTTTCTAATCTTTGCTGTTGGTCTAAAAACTGGGTAAGGATAGCCATCAATTGCTGAAGTCTGTGCACATATGAGAGGTGCTTGTGATGTGGATGAGTAGGACCAAGGTTAGGAGATGCAGAAAAGTGATATGGGCCACACCGCAGAAGGCCTGCGTGCTTTCCGATTGGGGCTGCGCGTGGGTGGAGTGAATGGTCCACGCTGGGAGGAGAGGTGGGCATGAAGGAACAAGGGCAAGATATTTTGAGAAACAGGGCCTAAACGTATTTCACCATCATGGTTTCACCAGTATTCAGATGTATTCAGTTACTCTTCCTCTAGGTGCAAAGAAGAGAGAATTGTGGGGACAACCAGAAGTGAGGAGTGGACAGTGTAAGAACAGGTGGAGTACAGTCCAGGTGACACGAGAAGAAAGGGCTCGGAGACTGCCTGAGAACAGTTAATGCACATGTTGCCCCTGACGTGACACTGAGCATTTAGCAGAAGTCCTTGGAGTAGAGAACGAAGAAAGGTTCATGCAGTTGCTGTGAAAATCTCAGGAAAAGTGCTTCTTATGGATATGCCTAACCAGCAAATACGACAATAGGTTATCTGTTTTAAAATTAGGCGTTGTTACATGGAGCGCGTTGGAAGGCCAGGGACAACAGATCCTCTAAATCTTATCCTTGCAAAAAACCAGTAACAGCTAAACTCTTATTTGTTTAGTCAGTTTTTTGTTTATAGTCCGTGACTATATCAGACTAGCCCTATGTCTTGATTATGGAACATACTTAAAGCCAAGTCCATAAATGGAACAGCATTTTAAGAAGATACCATGGGTACAAACAAATCAGGGTATAGAGTAGATTCCAAGTGTCTAGACTGAAAGGCTTTTTGTAGTTAGGCAAAGAGCTACTTCGTAAGGACTTACTATCTAAAATTATCGAAGGAAAAGCATATGTTAAACCAAGCTTATGTTAAACAATGCTTTTCATTCACCTCTTGATGTGCTGCTGAGTGTTGTTTTCCCTCTAGTCTTACCAAAAGACAATTAAATGAATACAAATTAAATGAATATATCAAATACTGTCCTGACTGTTTCTATGAAAGCGGTTACAGTAGTTTCCAAAAGTTTTGCTAGCAAATGGAAGAGAAATTGAAACTTGAGCTAGTGAGTGAAAGATGATAAAATGAAAACAAAACTCCAGTGTTTATTAGGAGAATGTTGTACCTAAGATAATTTGTCATGGGAAATTCTTTGATGTTCTGAATTTAGCTGAATAGTTCACATCCTTTCTTAGTTTAACGTAATTAATTACTTTGTGCTAATGCAGGCAGATCATGGGGGAAAGTGCAGTGAAAGGATTTAGATTTTAAATATCTGACTTTCTTAAAAAATATTTATAAACGTGATTTTTTTTTTGCTTACTTCAATTTAATTTTTTTATAGGTAACCATTGAATGAGACTTCAGAAGCAGGTTGTGAAAACTGACAGAAAAGTGAGTATGCAAGTATTTGTTGTTTTTTCATAAAAATATATTTTCCCCAAAAAAACTTCCTCTGAGGATGGTTAATAAACCCTTTTATTATGTTGATTCTTGACATCTATATTAATCATTGTTTTTATATAGCCTCAAAAACCTATCTCCAATTACATATTTTTCTTGTGTGAGGTTAGGGAAGATAGTCTTATGTATCCCTCATCCTGAATATGGCCTACTGTTTTTTTTTTTTTTTTTACTGAATATTTTTAGTAGCTAAAATAAAATGGAACTTTGAAAAGTATGATTCTAGCAACTTCTTATCTATTTTCAGCCATATTTATTATATAATTCAGGATTTAGGTGTGTCACCTTTTCAACTGTCAGAATGCTCTTTGGTTCCTTCAGTTTGTGTTGTCTGACACAGCATGACTAGAATTTCTTACGGTGTTGATTTTATTTCCACCTGAATTTTGTTAGTAATATGGACTTCAAAAGCCACTTTCTTCTAGGAAGAGAAACTCTTTTGTTCTGCCAGATCCCAATTTAAAAGAGGAGAAATTTGCATGTATAGAATATATTTAAATCACCGATGTATTGTGGAACTTTGTACTGACTGTTGGAACAATGTGTCATATTTTAACCTCTTTCTAGATGGTCAATCAAAATTACAATGTTATATTGAAAAGCAGGAATTGTTCAATCATATAACAGAGGACTGAACTCTTATTTTTAAATTTCCTCTAATTTTAGCAGAGCAATCTCAACGTTTTTGTAAGGTATGTCTGTGTGAATTTATTTGTACAGTTGATATCGTCAAAGCACTTACATTTCAATAGGACTGTTGTAAGTATCCGTAATTATACTGACTGTATTGCACTAATTTCCAGTTGTTTTTCTGCATATTCTGAGGTCTTTTCTGAAGAGTGTATAGCACAACTCTCTACAGGCTTGAAGTCTGCTACAAGTCTTGGTCTTGGTTAAAACTACTTTTAGGCTGTGCTCAGATGTTTGCTGCTCGGGTTTGTTCATTTTGTGTGGAGAATGTAAACAGCTTTTTAAATAGTCTGATATATCAAAGTTGTACCAATGAAATTGTAATCTATTAACTCTTAGAAGAGGTTTACATGGGCTCTTTGGAATTTGGAGGTTTTGAATAATGATGTCAGCAGAACTTTGATTTCTGGCCTCTTTCTGTGAACTCACTGATTACTTTCTATGACTAGGTTGATTCACTTTTAAAAGGACTTCTTTTATCAAAAAAAGTGTATGTACTGGTCGTGTGCATAATATATTACCCTGGAAGAAGCCGGGGAGCCTTTAGTCTGTGCTGACTGTTTTTGGTTGAATGTATTTTTCTTGTCTTTAGTGGCATATCGAAGAGAGGAAATGTGGTCTGAAGGGCGATACGACTATGACAGACTTCCAAGAGAACGGCTTCCTCCAAGGGTTCATCCTGATGCAAGTGTACACTATGTTTCTTTAGGACTGGGTTTATACCATAAGGGCTGGATTTATATAAGTAATTAAGTTTCTAGTAAACCTTTACATATTTCCTTCCTCCCCCACCGATTCAGTTCTATTCTCATTCGTTTAAGACAACAATCTAGCAAATGCATGTGCACAGAGTTAATGGGATGCCTACCCAATTAGAGCTTGTACATTTTTCTGCCAAAATCCTTTGAAGGCATCTTAGAGCAGTCATGTTCTGATAATTGATTTTCAGTATAATTTTGTGCGTAATTAAACACGGGATTTTCAGTAACTTCTGGAAGAACTAAAAGCTATACCATATTTAGTTTCTCCTCAGAAGGATTTCTTCTATGTTAATAACTTCAAAAATGTATTTGAGGTGATAAAATAACTACTTTTAGCATTGTTCTTGTCACTAGTGCAGTTTTTATTATAACGTTTAAAGATTACAAGCAAATGTTTGTAACTAACCTCAAAAATTGGCTACAGAAATTGTTTTTAGGAGCCTTATAAGCTAAAAGCTTGGCAAGAAGAGTGTTGATGGAAATCTGTTTTGAAGGCATATGAAGACTTTCACTATATGTTACATTTGTAAAAGCAAAAAAATACAAAATCTACTGTTGCTCTTCACTAGATTAACTTCCGAATGCTTTTAGCAAATCATTGTACCAAAGAAGTAGGTCAGATAATGTTTTTTCTCCCCTGAGAAAAACTGTCTGAGATCTCTAAAGAAGAGAAAAAACAGGCTGGAACTTTGTCTTTTACGGCTATTACAATTTAAATAGAATTTGAAGAACGTTTTCTGAATGTTTCTGTTTAAATGCTATGCAATATACATTTGGCAATATAAATTTTAGGTATCTAAGCCTGGTATCTGGCTTTTATTGCCTTTCTTTTAAATCTAGGAGTGATAAGATACCTGATTTGACATACTTTCTGGGTTCCCTCTCCTGTATTTTCAGTACTATCCGTCTGCCCCAAAACAGCTCTTACAGTAGTAAGGCAAACCAAGACTGATGTCGCTTTGCCTTACTAAAAGGTGGATATGTAGCTCCTTCTTGTATGACTTTGCTCCTCCAAGGTGATTGGTGGACAGTTTCTCTCCTTGTAAGCTGGTGCCATTGTAACTGTTTCTGCATGTAAAGGTCTGACTTATTTTTGGCCAGGCAAGCAAAATTGAATTAATTTGTTCATCAATCTGTCTTATAAATGCTTCAGTGTTTGCTGATAGGTTAGGATGTTGGAATTGAGACACGCTAATGATACAGAATGTAGTGTCTCTTTTTCAAAAGAGCAAGAGACTTGTCCAAATATGGATGTTAATTAGTATGTCAGCATAGTTTTGTCTGCACAGAAGTGGACTTTTGAGTGAGGTTAAAGCACGGAGCAGTTTTGCTTTAGCTTCAGGGCATATGTTCTTTCAAAGTCACCAAAGTGAAAGAATGTTTTGGGAGAGTATTCAATGAGATAAGGGTTAATTAAGCCTTGTGACTGTGTATAAATATGTATGTAGCCTCTACTTTGCATCAGTATGGCTGTAGGCTGGCTGTGGATTGCCTTTTAGCGAATTTATTGGCTGGTCTCAGAAATCAGAACTAACTTTTTTTTTTTATGTGATAATCTTTAGCAGTTTGCTAACTGAGTGTGTTTTTCTACAAAAACTTTTATTTTGTTAGATTGTGGTTTCTGCAACTAGGAACAAATTCCAGTTTGTGTGCGTCTTTTCCATCTTCCGAATTGCATATGCTGACTCAAGTCTGCATTGATAGCTTGAATTTTTAAGGCCCATAGAAAAAATATCTTGCTAAAGGAAGAAGGCTTAAAAGATAAGGTCTTGAATTCTTTTTTTTTCCACTTGTTTTTTACCTGCAATTTGGTTTATATACTACTCAGTTCTTGGAAACTAAATTTGTGTTTCTTGCAATTTATGCTTAATAAACAGAGGATCTCTTTACCAGTTAAATGGTGTGTGATATTTTTTTTGAAGGAAATAAAATAATTCTGCATTATAACAAAAAGCTATTAAATATTTGGGGAAAAGAAGGGCTGGAATGTGTTGAAAAGGTGTTTATCTATTCATCTCTAAGCATGGACTGTCTTCACTATAATCTTCATAGTATGGAGGATGTTATTGACATTGAGAAAACTAATAGCATTTACAGATAGGCTCTTTGTTTTATAGTAATAAACAGTCATATAGTCAGTTTTATAGTCATAAAGTTACAGGTGTAACTTTATTTATTGCATTCTTTTCCTAAGTTAATGGTGAAGATGTCTGAGAAATATATGTAGCTGATGCTTTAAAAAAAAAAAAAAGCTAATGCTACTGCTTTACCCTTTCAAAAGAAACTTTAACTGTGTTTAGGATTTTCCCCTTTTAGTCAAACTAGTAGTGCCTAAAGGGTTGCGTCTACATCGAATGGTGTCTAATTAGATGTAACAAGCTATTCCAACATCAGACTGACATAATTTTTAATGTGTGTTGTTCCCCTGTGCTATCTCAGCTTTAAGATTATTACTTTCCAGTATTTAAGAAATAACTTTTTTATTGTTTTGCTTTTAGTGCTTTCACTGTAGATTTCCAGTTCTTAAAAGTAATATGATTTCACTTGTTTTGTGGTTTAGGATGACTACCATAGAGTAGTAAACGTTGTGCCCAAGAAACCACCACTGCTCGAAAGACCTGGGGAAGGGAGTTACAGTCGGTATGATGATTACAGTCACGTTGACTACAGAGACTATGAGGAGGGTCGCAGTTTTGCCCATGAACGAAGAAGTGGTCCACCACACCGAGGTGTACGTAAGGTGATTCTCTTCTCATTAATATAACGCTTGTCTTCTCATTAATGCTTGAATGCTGAACAATGATGGCTCAAATATTCCATACACAACATTGCTGTTTTTCTGTTGAAATGAAATAGAATGGGGGGAAAAAAGCATCTAGGTTTTGATACTTGGTGCTTCTACGCAGCGTTTGTACTTCCAAGGCTCTTGTGATTGATGATGCCAGGTTCTGATTTGCTGCTGCTCTGGTTCCTAGTTAGTCTATGAACATGGAAAGGAGCCCTTTTCCAGTTTTCTGGAGAGCTCAGAGATTCTTATCTGGGAAAAGAGACATCACTAGAAACCCTATCTGTAATGCATTGTAAAGTTATCTAAATGAGTATAAGAAAGATTGCAGAATTTTCTTCATATACAACAAGTCCTTGTACATGCGACTTATTGAATTTCTCATTTGCAAAGATACTTGCTAATTTATATTCTGTCATGATGCTGGTTACATTTTTTTCCAGTAGCAACATTTTGAAAGGTCATGATTGCTGCCTCCCCCAGCCCACTTATATTTCTTTAGCTGTCTGATAAGAATTTACATTTCAAGGATGAGATTTTTTTTTTCTCTCCCCTTAAAGTCAGGCTCATATACATAGCTTGAAAATTTTGTAGTTATTTGTGTTTCATATAACATTTCAGGCTATTTGAGTTTGGGTTTTTTTTTTTATTCTGTAAGTAATTATAGCAGAAGAGAAAAAGGAGTAGTGTTAGAGCAGACAAACAGAGAGTAAATCTCTCTGTGAAAGATTAATGTTTTCTTTCAGCTCATCAAATGCTTTCATTATACAGTGAATCAGTAACATCTGGCTAACTGTATCTCACATCTGATGTTTAGATACACTTCACACAACTATCTCTGTGTGTGTTGCAGGATGAATCAGGATACAGATGGCCAAGGGACGATCATCCTATAAGTCGGCAGCCTGAATACAGGTATTTTGTAAAACTTTACAGCAATGCTGCACGTAGAATCACGTAGGCTGGAAAGCTGTGTATTTCAACCTCCTGCTCAAAGCAGGTTTGTTGGAGCAGGCGTATTAGGATCTTGTCCAGTTGAATTTTGAATGTGAAGCCATGAAACTGCTGGGAAGCTTTGTTTTAAAGATACTGAATGTTAGTTAGCTCCAAAGATTCTCCTTCCCTTCAAGGTCTCCTTCCTGAAATTGTCTTAACATATTTGCTTGGTTGCTGACATGCATGTGCTGTCACTCTGTTACAGGTTTTGAAGTGTACTTATATGCCTGCTCTGAATCTGAATATACTGTTAATTGCAACTGCTAGGAACCCTAGCCACTGACCATCCAGGTTTTCTGTCCTTCCCCTTTGTGATAGCGGTTGAACTACTTTTCTCTCTTTGTTACCCTAGTCTTTTAAATGAAATAGGAACTTTTATGTGTTACTTTTACAAATTTATGTTTTGATGTACTTGTGTTTACATACATGTAAATATTATTACATGCAGTAAACAGTTAAATGAAGGTTAGAATTATTTTTTAAGTGTTTAAAAGAAAAATTTACTCTTCTGTAGGCTATCTCATAACAATATGTTCCAAGCTGTAAATCTACTTTGATCATAGTCTTTGAATCTGGAAGGTTCATGTATATACATGTACTTATGGACACTTATGGTTTGAATGCAGAAACAGAGAAGAGCTGCTCATGTATAAATTTCTCAATCTATCATTTAATTGTTTGTTTATTCTATTGAAGTTTCCTTCAAAATAGTCTTACTGTTTTGTAATGTGTATTTTGTTCTGTTACTCAGTGACAACGAAACTATTTTCACATACTTATTGTGAATAGTAAGTACATTTTTCGGATCTTTGTTATCAGAACAGTTCATGGAGTAGAGCAATAAAATGTCAGGGATGTGGAAAAGGACATCTGTGTGAGTAACAGAAAATAGTGGAAAAGGGTTTTCTGGTTTTACCGTCTGAAATACGAATGGGAAGGCCTGCATCTTGTACTGTTTATTTCTTTCAGTGTTTATTTAGTAATGATGAGAGGACTAGTGATAATATATTTGAGATGTTAGCCGGGGGCTGCAAGCACTGTGATGATCAGTCACACTTGCATGACTTCAGAGAAATCATTGGTTTGCCTACTGTTTGCTTTTGTGAGTGCAATAACTTGGGGCCACACAGTACAGTGGAAATATACAGCCACTTTAACAGTGCTGGTGTGGGTAACGGTACTATGAAGCTCAGCACCGGCTAATTTACCTTATAACTTTGGTTAAAATAGATATGTTCAATTTTGTGTAGAACAGGAGTTGCATGTTTTCTTATCTAGACTGGTGACTAGATATTTCCATAATACATTATCTTCACTTCTGTAACCACTTTTTAGGGTCTGCTTCAAATTCCCATATGTGAAATGTTAGGAATAGCACTAAACAGTAGGATTGTAACAAACGTATGTTTGCAATAATGTCTGATGTGGGCCTATTTGATATGATAAATCAAGTGCACGGAACAGTGTTATGCTCAAAGTCTTGTTCTGTGGGAAAGAGGAAACTATATATGCCTTATATATAAAGCCAAGAGTTTATTCTTAGTGTAATTGGAATCTTAACAGATTAATCCGAGAATCACTGCTACTCCAAACGGAATTATTACAGAGAGAGAAAGAACATGTCTATGTATTACCTTTGTAACTGATTATTATTATTGTAACTTTTTCTGCATAATCTTAATTTATACCCCTTTTCTTGATGTTGTTATTGTTCTTCCCCTCTCTTCTGGATCCTAACTGTGCTAGGTTCATTCTGGTGCGTGTGGGAGGGTGTTATGGCGAGCTGCAGCATCTGGAGTCTTTTGCTGGGAGGAATACGATGTTCATGTTGATGGTTTCTTCTTCCTCGTGCTAGGATCCAGTTGAGGTCATTTTTTATATATTTGCTCACATGCTTTTACACCGTTGTACTTTCTTCATTGGTCTGCAGCAATACGTTACATCTGCGTTTACTATATGTGATGCCTCTTTAATATGTTAGATACTGTTTCTTTGTTCTTTGTTACCCCTAAAACCAGTTTTGTCCAAATGATCTTTGAGTTGTGCATAGCGAAAGAGTCTTCAGTGCCAGGCCCGTGCCGCTATCTCTTATCCTCCCGTGCCTGTGTCTCTTCTAAGCCACATCCTGTATTTCCATTTCTCAAGGCCTCTGCTATCTTAGCATGCCTGTATTTGTGTGCTAACTCACTGTGTTAGTTGTAAATATCTTGTTCTGCATAGACTGACTCGTTGTTACTGCTGTCCATATAAAGCTATGGTTGTACTGTACAAAGATAGACAAAAGAAAAACACATTAGCTATGGACTATTAGCTATAGGTCAATTAAAAGAATAGCTTTTTCAGCCGCACCAAGTTAAAATGAAGGTCAAGAAACGTTTAGACAGAGCAAGCTTAACAAGCTTCAGACTTGAGGTGTTGCAAGCTCAGTACAAAGCTTACGGCCTGTTACTTCCTTTGAATGTGGTGATTTCACAGAAAAAGTTTACGTTTGTCTGCTTTAGACTTCTCTCAAACTTGTTTTCTGAGGCTAGAAGCAACAGTAAAGGGTTTCAAAAAGTAGTTAGTATTCTGTAGAAACCTGCATGAAAATTCTTTCATCTCTTCTCTCCTATTTGGAATTGCAATCCTTTGTAAAAAGGGGCTGAGTGAATGCCAGGTATTCTTCTGTATTTTATACAGAACAAGAGTGGCACCCAGTGGTCAAAAAGGTTCTCTTAAATGTTTCTTCTTGATTTCTTCCATTAAAATGGGAGTATAAAATGTCAGCCTGTTTTGCTGAAGGCTTTAATAATGTATTGTGTGGTAGTGCCGTTTGGATCTTTAGTATATATTTTAGAATATATAACTGTTATGCAATAGCTATAAGAATATGGAAGAAGTTCACAGAGATATTTGATTCAGTTGAGAGTGTGGGATGTATTTATAACTGAATGAAGCCTTACTGATTCGTTATATAAATACGCTCTAGCATGTCTGATTGATCAGAAGAGAACAAGAGTGAATACTCTTGTACCTCAAATGCTGTGATGAGACTGTTAAACACTTGTAAGATTGCATGCTTGGAAATAAACTTAATTATGGCTTTTTTTTTTTTTTTGGATATTCTTCGCTATTGAGCTACGTAGTAGATCTCGGCAGAGGAAATCCAAGGACAGTACTCAATGAATGTTATCTCCTGTGGTGAAAACTCTTGTCTTTTGTTCTGAAAACATTTGCATTATGAAATGTAAGATTCAGTAATGATTATATAGGACAAAGCTGTCTCTTTGGATATGATAAAAGATACTTTCTGTAAGTTCTCAAGGAACACATATAAAATGACTTTTTTCTTTGAGATAGGAAAAGGAGATTTAAGATTATTTTTAACTAGAAATAATTTTAAAATGTCACATGGAACATGGCTGAAACATAGTGTGAAGTTAGATTTAGGAAACTAAAGACACCCAGAAGCCTTATAAAGTGAATGGGATTTTGTAATCAGTACAATTTCTATACTGTCTGATAGGTATAGCTCTTTACCTGACATAAATAGTGAAACTGTTCTTTTTTCCTTACTTTTAAAATTTCATTCGGAATGAATGCATGCTAGAAATGCTCTGTAAGAAGTGGTCAATACTATGTTTAGCATTTTCTCTTAAACATTAACAGTTCACGTTTTCATGATTTGAGTTTTGGCAACTTAAGTTTAAAAATAAGAAAGTTTCTAATCTCTTGCTTTTTTCATATTTGTTCCGCTTATCCTCTTTCTTTGAAATGATGAAAAACATCACTTGGTATTCTCCCAAATTAAAAGAAGTTGCTGACTTGGAATATCAGGAAACACTTCAGTGGTACGGAATTTGGAGGGAGGGGGGGTTGTGTAAAAATTTCCTTGGTGCTGAAGAAACCATCTGTTGTTTTCTTTCAGAGCTATTTGGGCTTTGCCTAAAAAAATAAGAAAATTGTGCTTGCTTTGCAGCCACGTAACTTTGGCTTGAGCTGCATTCTGTGAGCTGACCAGTGGCAGTTCCCCCATGAGCTTGTTTTTTAGCCACATCCAGTGTAAGGTTCTTGGTCGTCTTTCTCCTCCTTCTTTCTTCTTATGGGGTTATGTTCCAATTTCCAACCAGCTGTCATTTGCCAGTAGTCTACCACTGGGCAGAGCATCACTGGTCAGTTTGTTCTTTTCTGGACCACTCACTTCATGGGAGTTGTTAGCCCTGTTTTGAACCCTGCTTAGTGAACAGCTATTTTGATTTACAATTTTTTTTTTTAACCGTAATGTCATATTTTATATATAAAAAATAAAAGAATTTGGAAGATGTGCTGGGCGTAGACTTCAAAAAGTGTTCCCAGATTTCCTGTGCTGATCTAAGGGATTCTTTCTGAGTTTCTGAACTTCAGGAACTGATGTGATTTGTGTAATCTTACAGTCACTGTTTGATTTGATAAAGTTCTGTGCCTCTTGGTTCAAGCTTATTTGGCAAGTATGAAAAATTGTACATTGTATGTCAAAGCTGAATCTCTTCAGCTTGGTGAGCAGAGAATTATCTGCACGCAGGATGACTGTTTTAATGTCTTGATTGCCGATGCTATAAGGATTGTGAAACCTATAAATTATGAGCAGAATAGAGCTCAAATAACACGTGACTTTTTACATTTATCATATACTGATGTTGATCATTCTTTAGGAGTGTGTTATTACTTGTTTTTAATGTTATGTCCACCTTGGCTATTCAAAGCATTTGGCCAAATTCTTTTCATGAATGTCACACTGTTAGAAAAGTTGCAGGGAACAATCCACTTGCCTTGATAACTCTAATGATATAGTACTTCTTCAGGGGCCTCATAGCAATAGATTTTTATGAACCAGCTCACTATTTTAAATTCAGATAAACTATTCTATGTGAAATGCTTTAGAAGATTAGCCATTTCATTTT